GCATCTTCATGGAAGGTCTCCAGCCTTCCAAGGGTCCCTGAAGTGCCCCTGGAAAGCACCTACCTCGTGTGTGTGTGTGTGTGTGTGTGTGTGTGTGTGTGTGTGTGTGTATGTGTGTGAGCATGCGCGCGCACCCATACACACACCAGAAGGCCTTCACAGCTGGCCAGGCTCTTCCTGTTGGATGCTGTGAGCCTTCTGGGGAAAGAAGTGGAACAAGCTTGAACTTTGGGTTTACAGAAATTATTCAAATATGCTGCCCACACAGTCTGAGAGGGAGAGCAGTTTCCAGATCCCCCACATATCCCTCAGGCACCTCAGGACGCCATCCTATCTGCAAAGCAGTGGCATGTTGCTTGGAACAGAGAGGGAGGAGTTGGACCGCTCCCACCCCGTGCTGCCCAGGTCTGTCACAAGGACAACCCCGGCTTCCCAGGAATACTCCAGGTTCTCCCAGAGGGAGAGAAGGGGCTGCTGAAGGGAAGGCCCCAGGAATGGGGCTGCTTGGAACACTCCCAGATGAGAGCCCATTGCCTGATCCTCTGCAAGGAGCAGAGCCAAAGGACTGCCGAGAAGGGAAGAGTATTGATGGGGTGTGGGGTGTCAAGTTTTCATCTCTCTGAACTCACAGCAGCCCCATGAGAGAGGGACTGTTACTATCCCCTGTACAGATAGAAAACGAGCCAGAGCTAGAACAGGCCAAGGTCACACAGACTATGGTGCTTTACAGCCTGAGGTACTGGTCAGAAGCTAGCAGAATGGACACCCCACCTTAGTGGGGGGGCAGGTGGTATTATAACCACCGACTCTAGAGGGATGTGTGAAAGAAAATAAGCATGACTTAGTGGGGGACACCAAGAGGCTTGGAAGGAAGACTTGGAAGGGTACAGATGTGGAGCAGATGGGGACGGCTCAAGCTTCATACATCAGTTCATATGCCTGGATGGCCATGAAATGCCCACTGCATAATCACAACCCAGCTGGAGCCCTGCACACATGAGACCTTCACTCTTACCTAGCTAACACTTCTTCCCGTGGTTTTTTTCTGGGACTGTTGGCGTGCTGTGTGTCATCCCCTGGGCTCCACATAGATACCAATCTGCGGCCATTGATGCCTTTATTTAGGTTTTCTGGAGAAAAGATCTCACTAAGTAGTTCAGGCTAGTCTCCAGCCTCCCTAGTGTTGTCACAGGTGTGCCACCACACCCAGCTATGATAATGCCTCTATTTTTTTAAAAAAATTATCATTTTTATTATTGGTACTGGGAATTGAACCTAAAGTACTCTACCACTGGGTTACACCCCTAGTCCTTTGTATTGTTTAGATACCCAGACTGGGTTGGACTCCATATGTAGACCAGGCATACTTTGAACTTTCAGTCCTTATGCCTCAGTTTCCTTAGGAGCTGGATTGTAGCCATGAGTCTCTTTAAGACAATGCCACTAAAGGGGGAGGATTTCAAACTTCCGAATGCAACTCCCAAATGGAGATGGGATGATTTGACAGTCTTGGGTCAGGTAGCTGGCCTTATATTGTTTACACTGTCATCTGTCCTTTGTAAAGCAAGTTATGCCGGGCAGAATAATGCTTCTGTCCTCTGCCCCAGCCAACGTTTTCTTAACCTGGGACAGTTCCTCAGCACACCTCTTTCCCAGTGAACAGTGAGCTGCATGAGACAGAGGCCGATCCCAAGGACCCAGTAACTTGGCATACAGCAAGTGCTTCATAAATGTTTGCTGGGTGGACAAATGACAGTAATCATCTCTGCTGCTTATTGAGTGCTCTTGAGTCAAGCCCTGGGCTAGGCCGCTAGCACACATGATCTCTGATATGCTCAACCATGCCGCGCCTGCTGCGCAGCCTGTATCCAAGAATGTGCGGAGGGTGTCGGGATTGATGACACAGAGACCCGTCGGTCGTGCAAAGAAAACTTCAAGAATTGACTTCAGTGTCTTTGTCTTATACATTACAAAAGTACGCTCAGAAAGGTTAGGCCTCTTGCCCAAGGTCTCACAGTGACACAAGGGAGCGCTGGGTATGAAGGCACACTTAAGAAGCCTCAAGGCCCTGTCCAGCTATCACACAGCTGCCCGCAACCTTGACTTCTTAACTATCTTTGATCTTGTGACACAGATACTCAGCTCTGTGAATTTCCTAACCATCTCTCAAGTCAGGTCCCCTCTCTCCATTGCCAGGGCTACCACGGTCTAAGACTAGGATTGGCCAGGGATTTCCATCTCTGGCTTCGCCCTCTCCAGCAGCCTTCCACTCAGCTGCTGGAGTGTCCCAAGGTGGAATCTCTTTCCTGAGATGCTCTAGGCTGCTCCGTGTCATCCTCAGTCGAGCATCACCCATGCTGGGAAAACAGAATGGCCCTTCTTCCCTCCCGGCTCAGCCGAAGCTCAGGGAATGTCCCTGGGTCACCCAGCACTGATCTGTGTTGCAGTAGTGTCACAATGGCCATGTTCTGTAAGTTGCCATCCTGTGGCCACAATGCAGGGCTTGGTGGTCACTGGACATGTACCCCCGAGGGGATAGTGGTACCCGAGTCCTATTCGTTTCTTCCTTTGGCTTCCAAGCCCTGAGATGAATGGCTTCAACCTTCTCCCTGCTCCCAACCCTGACTACTATGCTGCCATCGTTCTGAAAGCAACAGTCTTTTTTTTTCCAAAACCATGTTTGTGCTTTCTCTCTTTCTCCCCCTCCCTCATCCTCACCCTGCCACATTCTCTTTATAATTTGTATAATTTGATACAGCAACAGAAAGAGGACTCGGGCATCCTGCTCGCTTCCCTTTCCCACAGCTCCTGGAGGGTAGGGTAGGGTCTGGGTTTCATTGATCCCCTGTGCTCAGAAGCCTGGCTGCTGCTTGACATGAAGAAAATATTCAGCAACTGTTGAGACCTTTTAACCTTACCCCCTGGCTCTCTGAAATTCTACCCTTTGGTCCCATCATCTCTAATCCTCTAGATACTTAGCCATGGTCCAGCCCTCCCTGGACTTGATACTGCCTCCCTGCTCCCTGTTAGTGTTCTCCTCCTCCTCCTCCTCATCTTCTTGAGACGAGTTCTTACTGTGAAGCCTTGGTTGGCCTGGTACTCACACTGGAGCCCAGGTTGATCTGCCTTTCCCTCCTGCGCGCTGGGTTTCAGGCCTGCGCCACCACACCTAAAGCCATCATTCTTATTTAGTCATGGGACAGGGCAGTTTGTATCCTCTGCCCCAAACCCAGAGGCTCTGGCTGCAGCCTCTCTTTGCAACCCTTCAGCTTGTAGCAGCCATAGTTTTAGAAAGCGCTTGGGACCAGAAAAACCTATGTGCCCTGGTAGAGAAAACAGGTAGCGAAGAGTTGGGAGGCCCTTTGTGGGATGTCAGCCACCCGTAGGTATCTCATGCCTAGGTCCTGTGTCTTCTTTCTCCAGTCACCAGCTGTGGTTATGACCTCAGGCCCACGTATTTTAGGAAACTGTCCTAATCCCAACATCATATTCTCCTCGAGCCAGATTCAAAGCATCCGTCTCAAGGACACCCAGATTGTAGAAGCCATGCCTACTAGGTCATAGGCCTGTGACCAAGGCCTCCCTGTAGTCCCCTCAGAGCACAGGAAGTAAGACAGGAAGGCCTCTGCATGAGAACACTGTCCTTCAGGCCACCCCAACTCTCCGTTGTTGTGTGTGCTTTTAAGAAGATGTATTTATTTTTAGCTTTGTGTATGTGTGTTTTACCTGCATCTATGTGTGTGTACCACTATGTTCTGGTGCCATGGAAACCAGAAGAAGGTGTCAGATGACCCAGGACAGGGGCTACAGACAGTTGTGAGCTGTCATATAGGTCCTGGGAACTGAGCCTGGGGCCTTTGCAAGAGCAGCCAGTACTCTTAACTGCTGAACCACCTCTCCAGCACCCCTGGGGGGGGGGTAGGGGCAGTTATTCTTTTGACTCCTGAAGTTAGATGCTGTGGGCAGAATGGTCATTGACCTGGTTCTAATCCTGACTCCCTGTGGAATACCTTGCAGGACTTTGGGCCTCCTCAGCCTCCTTTCTGAAACTCAGTTTCCCCTTGTGCAAAATGAGAACTGAATTAGCATTGGCTGTCTGCAAAGCTTATTAGCAGACTCAGTTGGAAGTGGAATGCTGTGTGGGAAGGTACTCTTCCTCCAGGCCATGGAGTGGGGTGGGGGTGGGGGTGTCCAGAGAGCCATTAGCAGATAAGCGACAATCTCACACTTCTGAAGAGACAGCCAGTGCCCTATGCCCTGTGCTTGCACGGTAGCTCTGAGGTTGGGGTGGGGGTGGTGTTGAGTTGGCACCCAGTAGACTGGGTAGGGGCATTTAGAGACCTGCCCCAGTGTAGTCCAGGCCAGAGGGCCTCACCCTGTACTCAGGGCCAGCTTGTGAGGGGAACAGGAAGAAGCTCGGGCCCTAGTTCTCAGAGTGGGAGAAAGTCGTGGCCACAAGGACAGAGGGAGAGCAGGGGATTGGCAGCGGCTGTGGGCAGGGCCGGTCCGGACAAGGGCGGAGTCAACTTGTACACGTGAAAAACTCTGGCTGGGGCCGGGCTTTTGCCTTCCTCCTCCTCCTCCTCCTCCTCCTCCTCCTCTTCTTACCCACCTTCCTGCACCCCTCCCTTCTCCCTCCTCCCGCAGCTCAGGTTGCAGCTTCTTTGGGGGGAACCGCTCACCTTTCCAGAGCCGGGAAGAGCCAGGGTCCCGAGTAGGGACCCCGGCAGGGTGTGGGGCGCGGGGCAGGGCACCCAGCCTTGGCAGGGCGGCCGCGGCGGGCGGGAGCGGGCTCGCCGCGTCCGGGACACGCGAGTCTGCGGCGGCGGCCGGAGAGGGGTACCGCGCCGGGCAAGCTGAGCAAAGGTAAGCCGGGCGGCCCTTAAAGGGGCCGTCTGCCTTTGCGCTGGAGAGAGATTCGATCAAAATTCCCGAGCTGCTGTGGGCGATGGGCGATAGCCGGGCGCGCTTGTGTTTTGGGGGGTGAAGGATGCCCTGGGAGAGCCACTCCCAAGTTCCAGGTGCTGAGGCAGAAAGCGTGCCCCGCGGGGACTCTTGATAGGGGACTCCCTTTGGCCCTGGGCTCCGTCGGAACCCTACAAAAGCAAAAGTTCTCACCCAGGCGCAAGCCAGACGCTAAGTGTCTTCCTTATGGGAAGGACAAGGGTCAGGAGTCCCGGATAACGAAGGGACCCAGGAGTGTACGGCCAGATTGCCTCCTTGAAGGGCTTCCTGGGTTTTAGTGAACTTTCCAGCTCTAAAGGCCGAGGGTGGTAGGCCAGAGACCTAGGAAAAACCGAGGACAGGTGAAGCCTGTAGCTCCCAGCGTTGGCTGCATGGTGACTGAGGTCGCTAGGGAACGTGTCGCTTCTCTCTTGGGGGAAGACCAGTGAGGCAATGACCCTCCCCTCTTCATGAGCTATGGACAGCGGCTGATACACTGAGGAAAAGGAGGATGGATGGATGGTTTGGGTCAGAAGACCCGGGCTCAGAAGTCATAGTTTGACTGCTGTGTTTGGAGGACACAAACAGGACTCTAAAAATGGGGTGGGCCAGAGGCCCTGTTCCACCCTGTTGCAGGACAGACCTGTGGCTTCTGCAGGCCTTGTGGCTGGTTGGTTTTCTCTGCTGAAGGGTCAGCACTCCTCCAGGCCCTGGCGGCATCATTGTTTCCTAAGCCATTCGTGGGAGCAGGGGTAGAACTGTGGGATAGAGGCAGTCCTCGGAACCTTCTGCGCTGGGGCTGCTGCTGTCTGCCCAGCTTTCCCATCCCAGCTGAAGACCTCAACAACCTTCCTCAGCCTACCCATCTGTGGTTTGTGGCCTGAACCCTGTGGTTCACTACCAGCTGGCCCCCACCACATCAGATGTGAGATTCAGCACAAACACCCAGCACACAGTGAGGTGGGTACCAGGCCCTTGCATCCTGGAGAACTCTTGTCTTTTCATGCCTTGGGCCTGAGATATATCTTCTGGTGGTATGGCCAACAGGCAGCTTGGGCTGCGTCGTCATGAATCGTGAAAGACCCAGAGAGGTTTCCTTTGCCTCAGCCAAGCTTCTGTCTCCAGTCCCTGCTGTGTGCCAAGCAAGGTGTCACAGTAATCTCAAGCTATTTCGTGAGTGCTGTTATCACCATTTTACTAGCCAGGGAACAGCCCCTGGGATGAATGTGCCCAAGGCGATGCAGAGGTGTGATCAGTCTACTTAAGCCTGCTCTCAACCCCTGCTCTACCTGGGCGGGGCTCAGCCTGTGCTGGAACCCTCAGCAGGGAAGGATTAGGGTAGTTTTCTCGGTGATGAGGCTCACCTGCCCTGTGCCAGGCAGATGAAGGCTTTACCAGAGGGACAAGATCTGAGAAGCAATTTGATTCCTGGTCTGGGATTGTGCAGGGAGGGGAATCCCTGCCCTGGGATTCAGAGGGAATGGGGCTGTGTTTCTCTATAGACTGTGTGTTCTCTGTGAGTTACTCTGTCCGGCTCCCAGAGCCCGGCTTGTGTCTTCTGACTCCCTTTCTGTCCCGGTTCCTTTTCCTCCTCCCCCTCCGATTCCTTCTTGCCTTTCCTAACTGAGTTTGGGACTTGAAGGGGAAGAAGGATGGCCAAACCTAAACCATTACTGGAACCGTGTCCTGCTGCCGTTGACTCTGCGGCTCCCAGCAGCAGACTCCTGAACGCCCTCAGTGCCCTGTGTGAAGAGGGGCTTCTGACAGGGAGGGCCGTTACGTGAACTGTGTGAGATAACTCGTGGAATGGAGGTGATAGTGTGTGGTAAGGTTTGGGAAGGGCAATTTCTCGGTGGTGCCCTGGGGCTGACTCTGTGGCAGAAGACCCTGAAGCCCCATCGAGCCAAGGCCTTAGCTAGAAGTTTTGCCCCTTTAGCTTGGAGAGGAGGGCTCTCTTTAAGATAGTGGGGGAGCTTAGTGGAAACATGCCAGGAAGGGCCAGCACTCTGTCCATTGGGTCAGGTAGGCATGGAACTGCAGGACTGCAGCCCTTTAGCAGGACTGCTCCTGAGGAGAGAGGGCCCTTTCCTGGCACTTAATTACTCGCAGTCCCTGTTCTGCTCTGCTGTCCACGAGGGACCGGCTGGCTGAGTTCCAGACCTACCTGCTTAGCTTCAGTCCTTTGGGAATCAGTTACATTTCTTTCCCTGGGCTGTGTCCCCATTAACCCTTTCTCTCTCCTTCCCTGGACCCTTCACCTTCGCTCTCTAGGCACTTGCTGCTGAGCAGGCACTTTCCCGTCTCAGAGGGTAGGAACACACCAAGGTTAGCCCTGGCTCCTGCAGCCAGGGTATGCACGTGCACACGTGCACACACACACACTCTGCAGCTCTCAGGTGGCCAGAGGCCCAGGATCACTCTAGGGCTCATGGCCAGGCCTGGCAGGAACTAACTTGTGGCGCAGGAGCAGGGTGGAGGGGAATGTGGCCCATTTCAACCTAACCTACTGCCTGCAGGACATATCTGCTCCTGAGGTTCCCAAGGCCCTGTCAACTGAGGAGTTGGGTTTGGGAGAGGTCTGAGTTTTGACTTTGAAATGAAGGGTCACAAAGCTGCCTGATAGCAGGCACGACCCTGGTAAGTCAGGACGCTCTGCCATGGAAGACATTGTCCCAAACTTTGGAAGGGACCGTGGCGATGCACACCCTCTTCCTGCTCATGTACACCGTGGGTATACTGAATCCCCCCTTTTGAGACAGAGTCTCTACATAGCCCTGGATGTCCTCAGACTCACTCTGTAGACAAGGCTGGCCTCGAACTCACAGAGATCTGCCTGCTTCTGCCTCCTAAATGCTGGGACTAAAGGCGCATGCCATCATGCCAAGCTGACCCTGCTTAAAAAAAATGTGTTTGAGCCAGAGATTGTTGTCAGCCTGGAGCTCCCCATCATGGTCAGGCTGACTGGCCAGCTACCTGTCCTTCCATTCACCTGTTTCTGCTGCCTGATAATGGGGTTATAAGCCTACTCTGCTGTGTCTGGCTTTTCCATAGATGCTGGAGATTTGAACTCTTGTCCTCCCTCTCCCCACCAGTAGCTGAAGTCTTCCCTGGAAACAGGTGAAGCAGAAAGAATGGCCCAGAAGAAGCAGGTTGACTTGTTCATTCGCTATTTACATGTGTGTGTCTCTTGCTGGCCACTGGTGCAGGCTGAAGCTTGGTATAAGGCCCGCCCCTGCCTCTCAATGGCTGGCAGCCTTTGGGCAAGCCGTCAGCTCCCCACCAGCTTCAGCTTCCTGATAGGATTGCAGTGATGTCATGTCTTCCCTGTGCCTCGGCTTCTTGCCTTACCTGATGCCGTTATTGGGGGGGGGTGACAGTTCATGGAGTTGCTGGGTCTGCACCTGAATCTTTTCTAAAGGCAGGACCTCTGTGCCAGGGACGCAAGGCCCAGCTCCCGACGTCGAGAGAGCATTCTCTGACAGTATTCCTCTCCTCTCTCTGAGCACCTGCTCTGTCTTGTTATCACAGGAAATCCTGAGATCTCCCACTGGTATCTGCCTACACACTTTACATCACTCCCTCTTCTGTCTAGGGAGTCCCTTCTTTCCCCTGGTACCAGCCGCCCAGCAAAGGAAACTCATGCAAGGTGAATAGATCTAGGGGACATAACCTTCTTTTCCATGTGCCCGTGGGATTCACTCCCGGAATCGGGTGTGTGGGTGGAGGGCAGGGGGTTTCCAGACTAGGTATGGCCAGCCAGGTGGTCACAGAGCCTCCCCCTTGATCTAAGTGTTGCATTTGAGCTGGGCACCGTATGCTGGGCTGATTCTCTCATGAAGCTTCATCGCCTAGCAAGACAGACAGAGGGGGCTGCTGCTTCCTTGACAATGGTACTCAGTAGCTGTGGGGAGCAGAACAGACATTGAACTGCACGTCATAGGCTCACTTCTGGCTCAGCTCTTCTCTGTCACTGTGAAGGGCCTTGGACAGATAACTATCTTGCTTGAGACAAACACAGGCCAGGGATTTCTATACCCCATCGACCCCTTGTCTTATGCCCTCATCTTTTGCCAGTGAGCTGTCTTAGCTTTGCGACCCTCCAAACTTCACAGCCCAGAAACTTCTCTCCACCGAGGTCTGGGTACCCAGTCCTTGCCATGGCTCACACAGGCAAGGAAACTGGAGGAGGCCTCACCCTCCAGTCAGGCAGAAGGAAAAAGTATTACCAAAGAAGTGGGCATAGGGACCAAGGCCTGCACAGGCATTGGATACTCAAGGGCAGGGTCTGTGAGCTACGGCTCCTTTCAAATCTCACCTGTTTTTGAATGGTCTATGAACTAAGAATGGTTTTTATTTTTTATTTGTTTTTTTGAGTCAAGGCCTTATGTATTCCCATGCTGGCCTAGAACTCCCTATATAGCTGAGAGCAACTTGAAATCCTAATTCTTCTTTCTCTTTGCATGTGTTACCATTTATAGTTTAGGTAGTACTGGAATTGAACTCAGGGCCTCATGCAAGCTAGGCAAGAACTTTGCCCACTGAACTGTGTCTGTGGGCCTGTTTTGACTTTTTAAGACAGTGTCTTGCTATGTAGCCCTGGTTGACCTGGAACTTGCTGTATAGACCAGGTTGGCCTGTCTCTCATCCATGAGTACTAGAATTAAAGGTATGCACACCACTTCAGGCCTAGGGTGTGTGTGTGTGTGTGTGTGCAGTGGTTGGGAAAAACTCAAAAGAACAATATTTTATGGCACTTAATTTGTAAAGCTGAGTCTCAGTGCCTTTAAGTAAGAGTTTCCTAACACACAAGGATGGCTTGCACGGCTGCAGCAGAGAGCATGGCCCGCAAGCCACGGGATAGTGGCTGGCTGACTTTTTATAGGAAAAGCCGGCTGACCCTTGTTCAGAGTCATCATGCTGTTCTCCGGCCTTGCCCTAAATCATTCTGGCATCTCAAGCTAAAAATACTTTTTATTTACGAAAAGGTATTGCTGTTTTCGTACTAGGTAAGCGGTAAAGGTTCAGTGTGGAAATGTTAGAAGGTGCAGATGAGGAGCAGTGAAAAACCACCCACAGCTCTAGAACCCAGGTGACCGTTGATGGCATTTTGACCAGTTGCCTGCCTTACATCTGCCATGATGGTGTCTGTGTTCATGTGGGGTGGGGTGTCTGTGCCCTGACTTGCAGTTTCTCCAGGTTGCTTTTTACTTGGAAATGCCTCTCAAACTGGACCCACGGGAGACATCCGGCCAGGTTCCTGGTAGACAGCTGGCCCTTGCATGTGGAGGCCCAGGGTTTGGGGGGGGGGGCTTGAGTGGTGGGTCTGAGAGTCACCAGCACGGGGGTTGTGGTTTCCACCCCAGGAGAGGATGAGATCACCCAGGAAATCTATTGTAGAGGGGAAGAGCAAAGGACCAAAGAGGGAACTTGGCCTGTGCTGTCATTCAGGGACAGGTGAGGAAGTGAGTTCACTAGACATGGGGCGGGGATGGGGGAGGGGAGGAGATGAAGGAGACCCAGGAGGTTGAGTTGTCCTTGAGACCCAGCAGCACAGAGCATGGGAGAGGAACACACGCTTGTGAACCCAGGAAGCAGAAGGGAGCCCTCCAGGGGCCTGTGCCCTGCCTGGTGAGTGACACTGACAGGGATATTTACAGAGCAGTGGAGTAGTTAGGGCCACCCAGAGGTTCTCTCGAGGAGGCATGGCGGAGCAGGAAATGGACCCAGGCCAGGGTGGTCACCTGGGCCAGTCCCAAAGGGGAGGCCCTGTGGAGTTCAAGAACGAGAGAGGGCGGCATAATTACCCAAAGCCTGGGCTGGCCAGCAGAGCCTGGTGGTGATTGTGGGGTGACACACTTGTTTCAGACAGCCGCTCTGATGGGAACCAGGGACATTAGAAGAGTGACCCATCAGAATGTGGCTAGGGGTTAATGCGGGCCAGGCTGGTGGGGTGGAGAATA